CTGACAAGACACATTACTAGGCTGATAGATCCTGGGAACTGGAGAAGCCACGTGGAGACCCCTGCCAGCGCTGAGATGCTTACAATGCCACTGGATCCAAAGACTTTCCACCCACTGGCCTGTGGTCATCCTGCATATGGTGGCCTTGCATGTGTTTCGTGAGTCTGAAGAGGACTCTTTAGATTGGCATTGGACATATGGACTAATATCGGATTTATGGCCTGGACTGGATTGGGTTGGGGTGCTTTCTTAATGTACAAATACCCTTCATATAAAACTCTTTTATACACATATGCGTGTCTATGAATTTGTTTCTCTGGTCTACCCCGACTAACACAACTCCACTGTGCTCCTATTAATAAAGCTCAAAAAGGCACCCATGGATTCAGCACCACTTTCACACTGTTAGTTCATCTTTAATTAAATACTTTTTAAATAGACTGGAGGAGTGGGGAAAACTTTAATTGTGACATACAGAGATAAACTCCAATATTTGCATTTAGGTTCAAAAAATAAATTGTAGTGTTGTACCTCAAGAAGGATCAAGGGTATGAACGTTGAAACAATAACATGATACCGATCAAATGAACAAATATTTAAAACAAAATATTCTATGTGAGGTTTTAAAAAGGAAAAAAAATGTTCCACTGACATTGAGTTGATTTCGTCTCTTGACAAAATGTTCCTTAGGATTTCTGAGACTCTAAATCTTTACAGGGGTAGACAGTCTCATCTTTCCTCTGTGGAGTGGCTAGTGGGCTTGAACTACTGACCTTATGGTTAGCAGCTCAATGCCTAATCCACAGTGCCACGAGATATCCTAAGGCAAGGCTGCAGTGGAAATGAAAAATGTTTTCATCTTTCTAGAAATATGGCAGTATCAGGACTTTAGAATATGCATTTCCTTTGAGCTCCCTTTTACCTCTAAAATTTATCTTAAGAAAAAATTAATCAGAAATATAAAAGTATTTTAGTTTTTAAATTAAAAAATCATTTTATTGGGAGCTCTTGCAGCTCTTGTAACATTCCATACATTGATTATATCAAGCATATTTGTACATATGTTGCCATCATTATTTCTAAAACATTTTCTACTTGAGCCCTTGGTATAAGCTCCTCTTTTTCCCCCTCCTTCCCCCACCCTCATGAATCCATGATCAATTATATATTATTATTATTATTTCATATCTTACACTGTCCATTGCCTTCCTTCACCCACATATCTGTTATTCATCCCCTTGGGCGGGGGAGCTGTATATCCAACCCTGTGATGGGTTCCCTCTTTCTCTCCCTTCCCCCTCCCCATAAAAGTATATTTATATATAAAGATGTTTATCACAGAACTAATTGATTAAAAAACCACACATGTCTAATAATAAAATGTTAACTAAATTAATTTCAATTAAAATGATTTTAATGATAGGCTACTTTTTTTTGATAGGCCACTATTAAATTAATGCTTACCAGGAGTTTTAAAAGCTGCCAGGACATGCTAATAATAAATGCTAAGTGAAAAAAACAGACTACAGATTATATGTGCAGTGTGGCCCCAATTAAAAAAAGTATTAGATTGAATTATATGAAATTGACCTTTTCTCTGTGGAACAGAAATGATTGAGTAGCAGCAATTTCACGAGGTTTGATATCATACAGGCATGGAAACATGGTTACCTTTGGATGATCGTTTGATGGAGGATTGTTATTTTCTTTCATAGATATTCCACGCTTGTAATTTTTATTCCGTGTGAAAGTGCTATTTTATAATCAGAAAAGGGGTAATTAAATTTTTAAAAGGTATAGGAATCATCGGAGAAAACGGACTAGCAGTTCATTCCCATGACAATGACCTTGAGGTTCTAGTCGCCCAACCTCTCTGGTGTCAGCCATGCATTGTAAGGAAGCCCTGCAAGCTTCCGAGCCTGGAGATAAGGGTTTCAAACCCAGGACGGTTACTCACCAGCTGTCTGACCTTGGGCGAACTAGTTAATTTCTCTGAGCCTCAGATTCCTCATTCAAAATGAAGACACTAATACCTCCCGACCTTGAAGGGGTGCTGCAAGAACAGAGACGGTGTTGGGTACAGCACCTAGACAATTATTCCTGGTACTTCGAAGGCTCTCCTCACCTGCTCGGTTCGCCCTTGCCCCACCTGTCAGGGGTATAAGATTATCCAAGGTGTGAGGTCGCTGCTAAAAAATTAGCTCTACTCTAGAGATGTTAATGAAGTGCTCTGCAGACCGGCTGGTCAGGCCACACATGGAAGGTTTTGTCCAGTTCTGGACACATTACTGTATAAGACACACTAAAAGAGGGGGGGGGCTTGTGTCATCTGTTGAGAGCATATGAAAAACTGAGTACCTTCTACCTGAAAAATTCAAAACCAAAAGCCATGACTTAAGGAAGGAAAGTACTCAAGTGGTTGATGTCTGGAAGGATAAGCCCTACTATGTGAACTCTGGTGGGAGGGTAGTAGGTGGTGACTACTGTGGACTGAATTGTGTCCTTAAAATATGTGTTGGTATCCTAAGCCCCAATCTTGTGGGTGAATCCCGTTGAGGAGCAGAGTTTTCTTTGTGAAACTGATAAGCACACATCAGTGGGGTGTGTGTCTTAAAACTAACCACTTAGAGATAGAAGAAGAGCAGACGGGGCCCAGAGACCCCCACCCCTGCCAGGGTGACACGTCAATTCTGATGCATAAACTCACTGCCATTGAGTCAATTCTGGCTCCTAGTAAGCCTGTTGGACCAGGTAGAAGTGCCCCTTGGGTTTCTGAGCCGGTAACTTTTCATCAGAGTAGAAAGCCTCATCTTTCTCCCTGGAAACAGCTGGTGGTTTCAAACAGTCAACATCACAGTTAGCAGCCCAATGCATAACCACACAGCCACCCTCTGAGTCCAAGTAGAACCATTCTATAGGCTTTCTGAGACCAAGCTTTCATGGGAGCAGAAAACCTCATGTTTCTCCCACAGAGCAGCTGGTGGGTTTGAACCACTGACCTTGTGGTTCAAAGTTCAGTGCTTAACCCACTGCACCATCAGCGAGCACTACTAGGGGAGAGACAGATGCCAGGGGGAGATCCCCGTGGAATCCTGAGCCTGCCAGAGACTCTGAGAAGGATTTCTCCTCCAGACTGCACAGAGAGGGCCTCCTCCCAGCGCGCTCACCTCAGACTTCTAGAACCCCGAGCAAGAAAGTTTTGTTTGTTAACGCCACCCACTTGCGATGTTTCTGTGACAGCCGCACTAGGACACGATGGCTGATCCCCCAGCCACCCCCACCAGGGAGTCTCTTCATACTGTTGGCGGCCCTACACACTCTCGGTTTCCACGGATTTGTCATTCTCCATGGGAGCAGATAACCTCCCACAGAGTGGCCCTGGGATTCGAACTGCTGATCTTAGAGCCCCACCAGGGCTCCCAAGATAAAGCAAAACCCAATGCCCTCGAGTGGATTCCAACTCAAAGATCCTAAGACAGAGACTAAAACGGTTCTGGTAACGAGAGATTGCCTTCGACCATGCGCTTCCCCATGGCTAGAAGCACATGTCCCAAAGCCCGGAGGCACAAGGGCCTTGAAGATCAGCAAATCCC